AGCAAGCAGGAAAAAAAAAACCCAGTTCCAAACACTAATGGCAATTTGGAATATCCAATTAACCTGACATGCAGGTTTTTGGACTGTCGGAGGAAAAAGGAGAGAAAACCGACGCAGACAGAGGGAGAACTAGCCTCGTGAGACCATCCTGATCTCACGAGCTTTCAAGGTTTTACTCGCAGATCAGTCTGGAGACTCTCCGTTAAAGAAAATTTGGAGCCGTTCACCAAACGAACGTCCAATCAGCGTTGGCTTTGAGGCGGGTTGAGGTGTGACGCAACGAGAAGCGTGACAGTTCAGTCTAAAGAACATGGCGGCTTCAGCCGGTGAAACTAGCGTTAGCGTGGCTATCCAGCAAGTTTTATCGGAATTACAGAGTATTTCTTCACTGAAAGAAGAGACGTACGTCATGTGCTTCGTTGATCTGATTGGTTTATTTGGCCCGTCTATCACCAACATAGGCCAATCAGCTAACCAGTATTTTCGCCCCTTCCCAAAATTACTTCAACGGAAGATTTCCAGGTGGATATGCGGAGCAAATCCATCTGGCGGAGTCAGGTTAAGGGAGAACATGCAAACTCCCCAAAGAAAGGTCTTGGTTACCCTGGGACTCGAACTCAGAACCTTCTTGCTGTGAGCTGATGTTGCTAAAAACCACATCCCCATGCTGCCCGGTAGTAAAAATGTGACCTTAAAAAGGAAACCCTGTTCAACTCTTTGCTACACTTCATTCAAAATATAGTGTGGTAAAAAAGGAAACCTATATATATATATATATATGTGTGTGTGTGTGTGTGGTTAATGGGAAAATGGCTGGGGCAGGATGGATGTTGGCCCTGAAAGAATTCTGCAAAAACTGCAAAACTAGGCAGATGTAAAAAGTGATAAAACTCAAGGGATATGCATACTTTAGTCTGACATTGTCGCCTCATAGAGGGGGAGAAATCTCCCCTTGCTCGGTGCCTCCTGAAAGCTTGCTTAATCATCCTTTCTATTACTCTGTGGTTCAGCCAATATCCCAGTCAAAGGGCCACAGAAGCTCCAGCAGATAGTGTTGTTTTCAAGTACAGTGGAACCAAATCAAATTTTCAGGCATATGTGTGTCACTTCTACCCTTTCTCCCCTTCTGCCGCTTCATCCCTGGTCTTATCTATCTCCAGAGAAAGGTGCTCCATCAACAAGGCGGATGCAGCTTGTATGTTCAAACTCCATTGTTTCCACATTCATTTGCCCCCTCACATATGAGGACGACAGCTCAGCTAAGATCAGCTAGTGTGTCGGCGAGCTCTCCTTCAGCCCCCCGGTGCTCCATATACACTGCAGTGGAAGCTCACGCTGCAGACACACTGTTGCCCAAGATAAGAGCAATGTTTGCCACATGATTAGGATCTCCCAGTTACCATTAAAGGAGGTTTATCTGCTACCCTAACCCTCATTCACGCCTCCTGCTTGTTTGCAGCCTCTCCAGAGACAGTGCTGGAGGTCACGGAGCCCGGAGCGGAAAGAGTGAGGTAGAAGAAATAAAAATAGAAAAACTAAATGGAAAGCTATTACTTATTTGACAAAGATCTTAAATAAAAACGCTGTTTTCATAATCTACATATGAAATGTCGTAATGGTAAGTGAAGAGGCAGAGAAAAAAAGTGCAAAAAGTAAAAGGTGATAAAAAGGTTTAAAATCTGGGGATGAAATTTCACTTTATCATTCCAAAGTTTTATCTTATAATGTTGTTGTTTTATAACATGTAGAGGAAAGTTAATCAGCACAATCTCAGCCAAAATGCTTTATTTAGCTGATTGTAAGAAGTGGGGAAAAGATTACAGTAGGTTTTTTTTAGAAATATATCTTTGGAAATTCCAATTCTGCACAAACACATCACAGAATGTTGACCACATATTAGGTAAAATAGACATTATTGGATACCAGTGGTCCAACACTGCTAAGGAGGCCCGAGGGGCTCATGCTTAGACAGGCTCTCTTTAAAGAAGAACATTTTTAAAAAATATTAAAACTTCTATGTTTAATCACAATACCCTTTTTTTAAAACCACTAGCCAGATTTTTTTTATCCAGTATTTTGATCATTCATCCCTGATAATGAACTTAAGCTCTTTTAGGCTGTTAGATCTCCTAACCATCTTCCTAATCTTTAGCTACAAACATGAATGCCCCCTCCAGTTAATTCTACCTTCCTAATGAACCCATAGAAGTCTGGATTTGGAATCATAATCTAAATGAATAACAGGAAATCTCTTAAAGTCGGATTAATCTTCAATAGAACGTATTCAGAGTGTGGGTGGCCTCCAAGGCCCAATATGACCTCCTTACATCCTTACAAAACATCAGTCAGCTGCTGGACAGTTCCATTGGCCGATGGAATGAGACATGATGTTGTCAAGGGAAACGGGCATGCATGTCATGAGCCACAGGAGCCCATAGCCCACTACAGCAGCATATGGCCACAAATTGGTCAGAGGAAGTCATTCCAGTACCTGATGGCAGACAGGGTACCCATGAAAAGCTCATGGTGGGCTATCAGCCCTCCAAAGATGTGCCTCCCCATCCCATTACTGACCCAGCGCGAAACCGGTCTCGCTGGAAGATTTTACAGGCAGCTCAACATTCCCTACAGTGTCCCCAGATTCTGTCCCGTCTGTCAAATTCTCAGTGGGAAACTGTTCTCATCGGTGAAGAGCACAGGGCACTAATGGTGAACCTGCCAATCCCTTTGTTCTCTTGCAAATGTCAATCACCCTGCAGTGCTGGGCAACAACAGGCCCAACTGGTGGATGAGGCGCTTCATGCCACCCTCACTGAGTCTGTTTCTGACAGTTTGAATAGAGAAATGCACATTAGTGGCCTGCTGGAGGTCATTTTGCAGAGTTCTGGCTGTGCTCCTTTATTTCCTCCAGGCAAAAAGGAGAAGTTAGCGGTCTCGCTGCTCCTATGGCACCCTCTACGTCTCCTATGCTTCATTTACATGGACAGCAATAATCAGAATAAACATGCAATCAGATCAGATCAGATTCAGCAGAAATAAGGGTGAAATAGTAAATTATTTGAGGTGTTTTATGCCAACAATCTGAGCCAGTAAACATTTTACAGGATCAGTTCTGAAAGTGGAAAGTTGACCTGAATCCGCAAATGTGACATATTTCAGCCATGAGTGGCTGCGGCTCTGGCTATATGCTATCAGAATGTTCCTATCAGCATGTTTCAGAATGCATTTTTAGTCTCATCTGAGTTTTTATTATGATATAAAAAACATAACCAGATTTTTTTTTTAAATCATTTTAAGTTGATTGTACAATGTGTATTTAACATAGCCCTGATGTACTAGCTAGTCTACTGGCTCTTTAGCGCCCCCCTTTGGCTCACTGGAGCTTTTTAGAAAATGTATGTACATTTTTTTGTTTGTTTATTTTATTTTATTTATTCATTTATTTATTTATTCATTTTTTGTTTGTTTGTTTATTTTAATATATATTGCAGGAGGTCAAACAAACATCCTTTATGTTTTCCAATGTTGTTAATATTTGTATAATAAATAAATTTAAAAAATAAATGTAAACATTTCTTGAACAATAATTTGCATCATAGCCATAGACATCAGTGGTCATAGCCTGCAACACACGTTTCAGCGCGACGCAGTGCCATGCAAACAAAGCAGCGGGTGAGTCCGACCATGGATCCCAAAGGGGAAAAAAAAGGAAGATGGCTGACGAGAATGGAGGATTCAAAGAAAAATGGAGCGAATCATTTGTTTTTGTTATCAATGCGGAAGGTTTGCCTGCATTTTTGCTTTGTAATGAGAAGTTTTCACAAAATAAAAAGAGCAGAGCTGCCTACTCTTTAAAAAAAAGGGACACATGTGCGTTCCAGTTGACCCGATTGCCTTTACCCCTCCTGCCGTGGTGATTCTTTTTTAGCCTCCCTTTGTGTGTGAAATGATTCTTTTTAACTATTTAAAGACTGTAGGCTACAGTTGTAAAACAGGAAAAAAAAAAAATTAGCTCAGTGCTACATTATGAAGCGATAGCCTGCTTTTTCCACTTGTATTTCCTCTGAGCTCTTGCGGTAAGGGGTTGTTTGTCTTTGAGTGCATCAGAGTAAAGCAGCATCAGCATTGAAATTACTCTTTTCGTCCCCCATAATGCTCTGTTGTCTCCCGCTATCTTCTGTCAGGTCGTTGGTTACAACCCAGGACAGGGCCTGGGAACAAGTTTACCTTAAATTTTATATCTAACGTGCAATGTTTTTCATTTTCCATAAGCTTTTACTGACTTTTTTTTACTCTTAGAGTAATAAGGGTCAAAGTATGTTCCTTTTCCACTAAATACGGGACAGGTACTTCTTTTTGTAAAAACGATTACGTTTTTCAAGTGACAGTTGGCAACCCTAACACAGAGTAATTTGGAAAGGCATTTCCAAGGAAGGCATGCTAAATATGCAGCCAATCACAAAGTTGGGAGCGAGAGGAAAAAGTGCAATTCTAGAATTTCTGGATAAATTAGAGGAGAGTAAAGATAGGTCTCCAAACTCCACTTCTGCTGCTAGTTTTGTTGCAAACATGGAAAACCGTAAACCTATTGAACAGGTAGCGCTCTGATGCAGGAATGTGAATTTTCTTCCATTTGTTCCCCAAATCCTCAAAATAAAAATAACACAGATGTTCTACTTTGCTTTAATGAGTAATTCAGATAGTTTCCCATTAAACTCAAAACTTTTCATTTAATAAAGTAAAACCCAGCATTTAATTCTTCATTATTGTCAATAGTAGTTAAGTTGAAGTTGTGGATTAAAACAAAGTGTTGAAAAAGGCATTTGTTGTGTGTTTTTCCAAAGAACACAGCAATCTAATTTACAATTTGAAGTCAGATATCAGACAGAACCAAAAGCTGCCAACTTTATGTAGAATGGAGTAAAAATGAAAGTGCAGAGAAATTATTTGTGTGATGATATAGGATGAATTAAATCATTTATGGCTGAGTTATCTCTCACCTGTACTCCAGTGAAAATCGTGTTAGTTCGGTGGTATTGTGGATCCATTTAAATTCCAGCGGCCAGCTTCCCTCTGCCATGCAAGTCAGAACCAAGCGATTTCGTTCCAGGTGAAGCTGGCTTCGCACCGGCTCGGTCTTAAAATAGGGAGGCACGTCATCTGTGAAAACAGAGGAAACAAAAAGTTAGATTTTTGTGTACTTTTTAATAAGCTGTCATGCCTCTAAATACATTTTAGAAAAAAAAAAAAGCCCTGAATCAAAAACACCCACTCCTAAATTTCACATCAGTTTTCATTGAGGCACAAATTAACACATGGAGACTCAAATTAAACGCTGTCAGAGTGAAAGGATGTGTGGGAGTTTTCTCATGTGAGAACATCTTTTTTTTACCATTTAAACAATTCTAACACAAGGCAAGGGCATAGCATTTTTAAATCCTGGAAATGATCAAAATTTACAGCTGATTGTAGAATCTATGCAACTGTTATATTTTCCTGGGATCTAATCAAACACACTAGAGCTGCAGAGATTCACAGCTTATGCCTCATTGACAAAAATCTTAGCGAATTTGCCTAAAATGAAAAAAAATAAAATAAAAAGCGCTTTCATGGAAAGAAAGCCATTGGAAGACTTGTTGATATGGAATAACAGTTAAGACAGAAATGTACATTTTTGGCCTAAATTATAATGCTTTGTGTGGTTGAGAACTACCATTGCACATTATTTTAAACACAATGTTTCCTCAATGAAACATGGTAGCGGCACTATCATTCTGTGTGGGTACTTTTCTCTTGCAAGAAAATATGTGAAAAGCTGGTAGAAGCTGCAAAAGTCTGGGTGAAGGTTTCTATTAATCAGATGTATTCTCTAAACAGCCAAAGCTGCCAGGGAATGCTTTAAATCTGTCCGGAATCCAGTTAGTGTGGTCTGTTTTTGTGTTTCCTTTCCTCCTCCACCAGGTGGTGCCCCGTCCTCATTGGTTCTCCCTGCACACCTGCAGCTCATTGCCTCATTACCTGTGGAGTGTTTTTAAGCTGCTGACTGCCACTACCTCGTCGCCAGAGTGTTGCCAATACAGGGTACTCTAGCCATGCTTAGTTTAGCAGAGTCTAACCTGAGTTTGTGTTTGCCAGTTTTGGATTCTCTAGCCAAGCTGAGTTTTTTCTGAGTCAAACTGAGTTTTTGTCAACCCGAGTCTTAACTTTGTTTTTGTCTTTGCCTCTTGGCAGGAAGTCAACCTGCAAACTGGATTTGTTCGGTCCTTCTCTCTCTGGAAGGTTCAACTGAGCTTCTTACTGAGCTGGGGTTCCAAACAGGAAGTAAGGACCCACTTTCCCCAAGAGGTCGTTTGAGCTTCACACCAAGCAAAGGTTTCTTCAGCACCGCTGCCCGTTCAAGTACCGCAGGAAATCAGAGTGGCAGTCAACTTCTCCATTCACCAAGGAACAACCGCAGTCTGAGTAACCCAGTCCACCCATCACCAAACAAGACAATCTCAAGTACAATTATCACAGTCTGGATTCCATAAAGGACACCCTTTATTGGAGAAGTGAGTCTGCAACCTTTTCATCCTGTGCAAAACCAAAAATTCTAATTTCTCACTGAACCTAAACTAACCACAGTGTCTTCCCCTCACCTTTCAGTCCCTGTTGAGCAGTGCTCAAAGCAGCACTGGATGCATCACCTTTATTTCAAATAAACCTGTTTAAACCTTTCCCTGGTCTCTCTGTTTGGTCTTCTGCATGTTGGAGTCAGACCTTTAAAATTAAATCATGACAAAATTCAATTCAATTCAATTCAGTTTATTTATATAGCGCCAAATTCACAACACATGTCATCTCAAGGCACTTTACAGTTCAACCAGATCATACAGTCAAATCGATACAAAGTTTTCTATCTAAGGAAAACCAGTTGATTGCATCGACAATCAAATGTTATATGTGAGTTATGGCTGGCCCACTCTAAATTCAACAGAGGTGTGACCTACTGCAAGCAAATGAGGCCCTAAAGATTTCTTTAGGCTCGAGTTTTCAGGCTATGCTGTTTAGGTGGCTTAGACGCACAGAAGTGTCCCATTTCTGAATTTTCCAAGTTTTGAGTTTCATTCATATTGGGTCCTGGATCTGACTCGTATCGGATCAGTCCAAGGTAGATTAGCATTTGCTGAAAAGCAGGAAACTAGCAGCACAACAGACAGGTTCTCTGATAGTACTGCACAGTGCAAAGAGAGAGAGACGTTAGACCTTGTCAATAAGTAGACTAAACAAAAGGATTATACCAATTATTTTAAGGTGGAACAAAGTTTGTATTGCAAATTTTTAAAATCTTCAAAGAGAGGACTTTAAAATGCTAACATCATTAGCCAGCCTGTGCTATAGTCCAATGCACCAGATTGCATCAAGTTTTCTACCTTTAAGTTGAGAGGAGATATGCTTATAGAATTACTAGCGGACTTCTACACCGGGATGCACCAATATGAACATTTGTCAAGATATTTTATTTTGCAATTCATTGTTATCATAATGGCTGTTAACCTACAGAGCAGCCCTTCAAAATGGGAGTCAAATGCCGACCTAATGGGCAACCTACTTCCCTGCAACTCCCAGCAGAATCCCCTCCAACATCCAGCCACTGGAGTGACCCCCTCCTTCTCCTGGGGGTGCATATTTTTTTTTACTCTGACTCCACCCTTTTACTAAATTACAGGGAGATGGTGCTTCTATTTAGATCTTAATGTCCAAAAATAGTGACAGAATAGTTTAGTACAAAGATTGATGTTTAAAAACTAATTGTAGGGGACCAGCCAAGAACCAGACAGGGGCCCATCAAGCAAAAGTATGGAAATTTTGAATAGCTACAACTGTATATTTACCTATAATATGAAATATTTCCTTACTCTTTGGACTCCATGACTGAAATTGCTTTTCAGCATCAGGTAAACACTCAAAATCCGAAGCTACATAATAATCACTGTTGCCATTGGCCATTAACCATCTTAATGCAGATGTTGTACATTGTATCTCTACATGTTCAGCCCACAATAAACTGTCCCTGTAAAATTAACATTCCTGCCCCACCAGCGCTTGCTGTGTCTCTGCTGAAATGTCAGTCAAATCTCCCTAAAACGCCACAACAAAGTTCCACTCTCCCTTTATTCATGTGCTTTCCACACAGCACCCATTGACACAATTAATCGTTTCTGTGGTACACTTACACCATAGTACCTATTGTGTCATGGTTACTGTTTTGCTGCCTGTCAGGATACTCTTATTGTTCACCTGCAGGTCAGCGTGGAGCCATAGACAGTTCACACTGAAGTCAGATGTAGGCGACAATATCAAAGTAATGGAAATAACCAGCCAGAATAATCTGATTCCTGAAGAAAATCCAAAGATTTGAGCAAAGTAGCCTCAATGACTGAAGTTCCACATTCTGTTTGTTGGAGCTTTAGTTACTTTAATCAGGGTAAGGTGGAGGTTTGTAAGGACCCAAAGGCAGAGATCAGGAGGCAGAGGTGAATTTTGCAGATTTAATAAGGTAGTCCAAGGCAACAGAAGCAAAAATCTAAAAAATACTGAGAACCAAAAATGAGATAAGGTCAGGGAAAAATTCCCATGAGAAGCCAGGAAACGGCAGAGCAACAAAACAACAACAGGGAACCAGCAAACTGTGACTGAAGCAGAGATGGCAAAAGTACTCACTTTCCGTACTTGACTAAAAGTACAGATACTTGTGTTAAAAAATACTCTGGTAAAAGTGGAAGTACTGATTAAACTTCTTTACTCAAGTAAAAGTAACAAAGTACAGGCTTGTAAATTTACTTAAAGTATAAAAGTAAAAGTAGAAACCACTTTTTTCATGCCGTTGCCTACATTTTAAATGGATGTCTGCCAATAGGACTAGATCTCCGTTGTGTTCATTTTCAATCATCTCGTCGTCCATGCTACTATGCTAACGCCACCGCCACCAAGCTGCAATGATTTGCCACGAATGAAAAGCGCTGAATCTGTCGATTCATCTTGTAGTGGTGCGTCAAATGCAACGTAGATTCCCATCCAATTAGATTGATTTGGTATTGATGACGTGAAAAATAATAACGGTAACTCCATTGAAATGATTCAAAACTAAAGTAACGAGCCAATTTTTAAAAATGTAAGGAGAAGAAAGTACAGATATTTGTGTAAAAATGTAAGGAGTAGAAGTAAAAAGTCGCCATAAAAATAAGTAGTAAAGTAAAGTAAAAATATCAGAAAAATCGACTTGACCACAGTAACGAAGTATTTGTACTTCGTTACTTCCCAGCTCTGGACTGAACATAAGGTGTATAAATGGGAGACTGAACAAAGATCAGCCTAATTATGAGAGTGGGAGCAGGTGTGGACAGAGGAGTCTAGAAGGGAGCTAGGGAAAAAGAGACTGACAGAAGAGGGCAGCAGAGGACAAACAAGAAATACCCAAGAAATCAAATACAATAAAAAATAACTAGAATAACATAAAACGGAAATGAAACCAATAAACAAACAAAAACAAAAACACAGAAAGATGCTAGTCTAAGTATAACTGAAAACTCAAAAAACAAAACAAAAAGAACCAAAAACTGCAGAGTCATGACAACTTTACCAAGTACTGTAGATGGAAAAAATGTTATATGTAAAAGTAATCTGAATATTTTTTTGTAGAAAGTTTTAAAAACTATCTTTATTTCTCTTTCTACTTTACAGTTATGTTTCCAGTTGATTTCTGCTTCTTGGCATGAAATCACAATGAAATTTCTTGCAGTTTGTGGTTGTATTATGAGAAAATGCAAAGAAATTCAAGGGCTTCAAAAAAACCTTAGATAGAAAAGCAGCAGTTTCACTTCAGATGAAAACTCCTTCCCCCCATGTCCCATTTGGAGCTACTTCACCCCCCTTGATCCACCAGTGTCTGTGCTGGTTGATTCTGACTCGTTCACCGAGTACCTAAGACACCCAACTAATAGCAAAGAGTAAGCAAGGCATGGAGTCATGAAGCTGTGGTCCTGTGCCGTGGTGCTCTGTGTGTTTCTGTGTCACTGACTCTCTGGCACAGTGCACTGTTCAACCCCCGAGCAGCGCTGAAGCAGACATGAGGAGAGACACCAAGGAGGAGGTGTGAAATCCTTTCATCATCCTTTCCA